CGACATTTCGTCTTTACAATGTAAAATTGGAAAAAAATAAGAAATTATGTATTTTCAATATTTATAAACAGAAAGGTTTTTCATTTTTTCATTATCGAGAAGATTACAGCAAATTTTTAATATTTTTTAAATATAACAAAGTTCCTTACTATTAGGAATATTTTTTTATCCCTTATTCTTCGAACACTTGCTCACTTTGAACGATCGCCCGAAAGAGGAAGATATGTTGCTAGTTTTAATATTTTGTATAAATAAAACTTTTTAAACTTGTATTACATCAAGAATGTGTCAGTTTCTCTATTATGTTGTATGTTGATACTAATTTCGGAAATTAATGAATCATTAAGTTAAAATTTCTTTTATTATGTTAAAGCATTGCCATTATCGAGGGGGTTGTGACCGTTTATTAAAGTTTCTTAAATATTTTAAAACATTTTTAGTTGCTAAGAATATATTTTCTAGGTTTTGTTCGAGCGTAACTTTCTGTCTTTTATTGTCCGAATACTTGCTCTCTTTAACAGTCCTATGCTTGAACGGTCGACCGAGAGAACTGGACATTTTGATTCGTTTTAGTAAAAACACCCCTTTAAAATTTGTTTGAAAATTAATACGTTATCTTTGTGTAAATTAAACCTTTTTAAACTTGTATTACAAAAGGAATGTCTAAGTTTGTCTTTTTAATAATATGTGGGGACTAATTTCGGAAACTAACGAACCAAAGTTAAAAGCTCTTTCATGGTTTGAAATCTGTACCATTGTCGAGTTGGTTGTAGCTTATTTTTAATGTTGTTTAAATATTTTAACGCATTTCTTGTTGTTAAGAATATATTTTTTGGCTTTTGTTCGAGCGTAACTTTCTCTCTTTCTTTCACCGAATACTTGCTCTCTTTAACAGTCATGTGCTTGAACGCTCGACCGACAGGACAAGACATTTTGGCTCGTTTTAGTATAAATAAGCATTAAAAATATGTTTTGAAAATTAATGCGTTATATCTGTGTAAATTAAACCTTTTTAAACTTGTATTATAAAGAGGATGTCTTAGATTGACTGTCTAATAATATGTGGAGGATAATTTCGAAAACTAACGAACCAAAGTTAAAAGCTCTTTCATTGTTTGAAAAATATGCCATTATCGAGGTGGTTTTAGCTTAATTTGAATGTTTTTTTAAATATTTTAAAGCATTTTCAGTTGTTAAGAATATATTTTCTGGCTTTTGTTCGAGCGTAACTTTCTGTCTTTTATTGTCCGAATACTTGCTCTCTTTAACAGTCCTATGCTTGAACGGTCGACCGAGAGAACTGGACATTTTGATTCGTTTTAGTAAAAACACCCCTTTAAAATTTGTTTGAAAATTAATACGTTATCTTTGTGTAAATTAAACCTTTTTAAACTTGTATTACGAAAGGAATGTCTTAGTTTGTCTATTTCATAATTATGTGGGAGGCTAATTTCGGAAACTAACGAACCAAAGTTAAAAGCTCTTCCATTGTTTGAAAGATATGCCATTATCGAGGTGGTTGTAGCTTATTTTTAATGTTGTTTAAATATTTTGAAGTATTTTTTTGTTGTTAAGAATACAATTTTTGGTTTTTGTTCGAGCGTAACTTTCTCTCTTTCTTTCACCGAAAACTTGCTCTCTTTAACAGTAGTATGCTTGAACGCTCGACCGACAGGACAAGACATTTTGGCTCGTTTTAGTATAAATAAGCATTAAAAATATGTTTTGAAAATTAATGCGTTATATCTGTGTAAATTAAACCTTTTTAAACTTGTATTACTAAAGGAATGTCTTAGTTTGTCTATTTAATAATATGTTGGGGCTGATTTGGGAAATTAGCGGATCAAGGTTAATAGTTCATTCATTGTTTGAATCTGTACCTTTTTCGAGTTGGTTGTAGCTTATTTTTAATGTTGTTTAAATATTTTAACGCATTTCTTGTTGTTAAGAATATATTTTTTGGCTTTTGTTCGAGCGTAACTTTCTCTCTTTCTTTCACCGAATACTTGCTCTCTTTAACAGTCGTATACTTGAACGCTCGACCGACAGAACAAGACATTTTGGCTCGTTTTAGTATAAATAACCATTAAAAATGTGTTTTGAAAATTAATGCGTTATATTTGTGTAAATTAAACCTTTTTAAACTTGTATTACAAANATTTTGAAAACTAACGAACCAAACTTAAAAGCTCTTCCATTGTTTGAAATTTATGCCATTATCGAGGTAGTTGTAGCTTAATTTAAATGTTTTTAAATATTTTAAAACATTTTTAATTGCTAAGAATTTCATAGCTTTTGTTCGAGCGTATGTTTCTGTCCTTTATTGTCCGAATACTTGCTCTCTTTAACAGACGTATCCTTAGACAGTCGACCGAGAAAAGAAGAAATTTTTCTTCTTTTAATATAAATGACGCATTCAAAAACTATTACCCCTACGAGATTCTTCACACATTTTAACATAAAATTCTCTTTTTGAAACTTTTAGATTTATCATTTAAAACTTTGAAAAAAAATTTTTGTAACGTTTATATTAATTGTTAAATAGGTTGAGAATTCATGTGAGCGTCTTTATGTTCACAATTTTTATATAATTTTCGTTGTATAACAATTAAATTTTCGTCAAGTTGGAGTCCAAGTATGTTACTACCACGATAATCATCATCTCTTTTTATTTGTTTTAATGCTTCTTTTATAACTTCGTTATTATCTCTTAATTACGGACCTTCCCTTCTTTCTTTTTATTCCTTTATTTTCAATTTGAAATTATTTCTTAAAACTCTTTTCTTTTTATATGCTTTAGCATTCCTTAAGAACTTATTTTACTTTTTTTTATTTTGACTTTCTCGTCTTACACTTATTTTTAGACCTTGCGCTGAAGAATTTTGTTAAATCTTTTACACTTTCAGATATATATTTTCCAGTCCAACTATCGAACAAGAACATTCATTAAAATCCTTCTTTAGGTTTTATTTACCTTAATACTACTTTTAAAATTTCGTTAACTTCTTTTATTTATTTACCCTCCCTTGTTTCTTTTTATTTCTTTAGATTTAATTTAAAACGATTTTTTAAAACTTCTTTTCTTTTTATTTATTTTGCCACTTTTCTTTGGAACTCATTTTATTTTCTTTATTTTAATTTTCTTGACTTAGACTTACAATCTTATACTTTCAGGTGCATCCTCCAGCCCAGCCATCGAACAAGAACCCCCTAGCAGTGGGCTAATTCAAGGATCGTCTTTATAAGGACACTTTGAGGAATGGTAGGCATTTATTACTTTTCTTGCTAAACAACATTCATTAAAATCCTCCCTTAATTATTATTTTTTTTAGTACTACTTTCATAACTTCGTTAACAGATTTTATTTAGTTAATTTTTTTATTTCGTTAGATTTAACTTAAACTATTCTTTTATAATTTCTTTTTTTTTTATTTATTTTGCCACTTTTCTTTGGAAGTCATTTTATTTTCTTAATTTTAATTTTTTTGATTTAAACTTTCAAACTTATACTTTCAGGTACATCTTCCAGTCCAGCCATCGAACAAGAACCACCCCAGCAGTGGGTCATATCGAGGATCGTCTTTATCAGGACACTTGGAGAAATGGTAGGCATTTATTACTTTCTTTGCTTAACAATATTCTTTAAAATCTTTATTTAGTTTGTATCTGTTTTAATACTACTTTAATAACTTCGTTAACTTCTTTTATTTACTTGCCCTCCCTTGTTTCCTTTTATTTCTTTAGATTTAATTTCAAATGATTTTTAAAACTTCTTTTCTTTTTATTTATTTTGCCACTTTTCTTTGGAACTCATTTTATTTTCTTTATTTTAATTTTCTTGACTTAGACTTACAATCTTATACTTTCAGGTGCATCCTCCAGCCCAGCCATCGAACAAGAACCCCCTAGCAGTGGGCTAATTCAAGGATCGTCTTTATAAGGACACTTTGAGGAATGGTAGGCATTTATTACTTTTCTTGCTAAACAACATTCATTAAAATCCTCCCTTAATTATTATTTTTTTTAGTACTACTTTCATAACTTCGTTAACAGATTTTATTTAGTTAATTTTTTTATTTCGTTAGATTTAACTTAAACTATTCTTTTATAATTTCTTTTTTTTTTATTTATTTTGCCACTTTTCTTTGGAAGTCATTTTATTTTCTTAATTTTAATTTTTTTGATTTAAACTTTCAAACTTATACTTTCAGGTACATCTTCCAGTCCAGCCATCGAACAAGAACCACCCCAGCAGTGGGTCATATCGAGGATCGTCTTTATCAGGACACTTGGAGAAATGGTAGGCATTTATTACTTTCTTTGCTTAACAATATTCTTTAAAATCTTTATTTAGTTTGTATCTGTTTTAATACTACTTTAATAACTTCGTTAACTTCTTTTATTTACTTGCCCTCCCTTGTTTCCTTTTATTTCTTTAGATTTAATTTCAAATGATTTTTAAAACTTCTTTTCTTTTTATTTATGTTGCTACTTTTCTCTAGAACTTATTTTATTTTCTTAATTTTAATTTTCTTGACTTAGACTTATAAACTTATACTTTCAGGTACATCTNCAACCATCGAACAAAAACCACCCCAGCAGTGAGCCAAATCAAGGATCGTTTTTATAGGGATACTTGGAGGAAAAGTAGGCATTTATTACTTTCTTTCTTAAACAACATTCAATGTTCTTAGTTTTTATTTACCTTAATACTACTATACTTTTAAAACTTTGTTAACTTCTTTTATTTACTTACTTTTCCTTGTTTCTATTTATTTCTTTAGATTAAACTTAAAACAATTTTTTTAAAACTGTTTTTCTTTTTATATATTTTGCCACTTTTCTTTCGAACTCATTTTGTCTTCTGTAGTTTAACTTTCTTGTTTTAGACTTATTTTTAGATCCTTGTGCTGAAGAATTTTTTGAAATCATATATTCTTTCAGGCACATAGTCCACCCCAGTTATCATACATGAACCACCCTTATAATGGGCCAATTGGAGGATCATCTTCATAGAGACACTTCGAGGAATGGTACGTTTTTAATTACTTCTTTGCTTATAAAAGAAAAATCATTTTCTTAAGTTTACGTTCATTTATATATTTTCT